GAAAATAATAAGGACTTGGAGGACAATGGAAAATCAAGAGAGTTGGTTAAAATGTAAGTTAAAAGGGCAAAAACTGTATATGAAAGAGGGTTGGCTGAAAGAGTTAAATCAAACAATAACGAATAACGTATATGATGTGTGTATGTTAGGATGGGGATTGGGCCTTTCAAACATGATAGTGGGAAGCTGATCTCGGAAGATTAGGAGATGGTAAACATTTTAATTATATGTTCTCTTCGATTTTTATGAAGGAAGATGCAAGTATTATGCCTCAACCAGAGCACTTAATGTATGGGGAAAATATTGGTGTAAAATATGTCATTTTAAGTTATGAAATTGTAAGAGAAAAGTTGGGAAACCTCAAAATTGATAAATCCCCTGGACCAGACAACTTTTATCCTAGAGTTTTAAAGGAACTTAAATATTTTAATTTGAACCGCTAGCTAATATTTTTTATAAGTCATTGAGTAGTGGAAGAGTATTAGAAGATTGGAAGTAGTCCAGTATTTAAAGGAGGCGATAAACATTGTCCAAGCAATTATAGGCCAATTAGTCTTACACCAGTAGTTGTAAAGATTTTGGAGAGTGTGATTAAAGATGTATTGCAGAGTCATTTAAGGTAGTTTGATATAGTGATATGGTTTCGCAAAGGAAAAATCTTGTTTAACAAATCTTCTGACATTCGTTGAGAAGAACATTGAATTGTTGAAGAAGGGTCAGAGAAGAGCCACTAGGATGATACCTGGGATGGTGAGATTGTCCTATGAGGAGAGACTAAAATCTCTAAACTTGTTTTCTCTGGAGAGGAGAAGAGTAAGAGGGGATTTGAATGAAGTGTTTAATATTATAAAGGGTATTGATAATATAGATCCATCAAACTTTTTTGTGCTTAACAGGGAAACAACAGGACATAGATTCAAATTTTGGCAGCGTAGGAATTGTCTGCAGTTTAGACAGTATATCTTTTCAAACAGGGTGGTTGGCTTTTGGAATGAGCTGCTTTCAAAGGTATTGAAGCCAGAAAATTTAACCGAGTTCAAGAAAATATTAGATGAATACATGAGTAGTAAGGGATGGTTATAGTTGGGAGCTGGAAGGGACATCCTTGATGGGCTAATAACAATATAACTCACACCAAGATCTCCCCTTGTCCAAGTCACCTTCAACTACAGCAACATCACTTCAAGTGATAATCAAAAACTGCACTAGCCAGAGGATTAAACTTCTCCATACCCCCCTAATAAACTCAATTATGCCAATTATTTCTATCCCTGGGAATCCTTGTACCGGAATACTAAGTTCAAACACTTAGCATTCAATACCTTCTATAACTATAACACATACAGGATATCCTCAAATCTCAAATGAAGAGTTGACAGCTATCAAAGAACTCTCCAGAAACAAAAATATCTTCATCACCCGGCCGGACAAAGGAAACGGAGTTGTTATCCTCAACAAAGTGGACTATGTTAAAAAAATACTTGATATTCTTAACGACCACAACAAGTTCAAACTTATAAACAAGAAATCAGTTACCCATATTTTACAACTTGAAGGGAAAGCCCAGAGATTTTTTTAGAAACCTAAGCAAAAGAAATACAATTTCTGATTGTGTTCCCAATAATTTATGTCCCACAGGCTCCCAACCTGGAATGTTATATAGTCTGCCGAAAGTTCACAAACCAGACACCCCTCCGACCTATACTTTCCGTCCTAGGCACTCACAGTTATAAGTAGCTAAATTCCTTGTACTCATCTTAAAACCATTTACTATAAACGAATTTACACCTGACTCCTTCCAATTTTCCCGAGAAATCAATCAACTCCCTTCTCACTTGTGGCCCGACATGGCCAGGTGGTTAGGGTGCTCGACTCGCAATCTGCGGGTCGCGGGTTCGAATCCCCGCCACACCAAACATGCTCGCCCTTTCAGCTGTGGGGGCGTTATAATGTAACGGTCAATCCCACTATTCGTTGGTAAAAGAGTTGACGGTGGGTGGTGATGTCTAGCTGCCTTCCCTCTAGTCTTACACTGCTAAATTAAGGACGACTAGCGCAGATAGCCCTCGTGTAGTATTGCGCGAAATTCAAAAACGAAAAAAACCAACCCTACTCTTGTTACTAATATTCCCCTGAACGAAACCATTAATATTGCACTTTCTTAGCTCTTTGCTAAAAACATTCTTGTTAAAGTCTGATTTCAAATATATGCTTGAACACTCGACCAAAGACTCTCCTCTCCACTTTAACAATACTCTATATGAGCAAATATATGGCGTTGCTATGGCTCCCCACTGGGTCCTATGTTGGACAACACTTTTCTCTGTCACCACGAACAGAACTGAATTGAAACTGTCAGTTAAGGTATGTTGACGATACTTTCCTTATTTTTCGCCATATTGATCATATCCAATGTTTTCTTGACTATCTAACTTCACAACATCCCTCTATACACTTCACTCATTAAATTGAGACTTTCGGGACGTTCTTATTAACCATGATACGGCTTTTCAACTTATGTCTATCGTAAAAACAAATTTACTGGCCTTTTCACTCAGTTAGACAGTTTTATATCCTTCTCTTTCAAACGCAATCTAATTCTCTGTCTATTAGATAGAGCCTACAAACTTAGCTAATCATATTTAGCCCTTCACAGAGAAATTACTTCCATACAAATCATTTTCTTTCAAAACGGCTAACCTAAGCATTTCTTGGAGAAAATATCTTCCTCATTCCTAACTAATTTGTTTGTGAAACCACCTAAGATACCAACTGTACCCAAACTTCCCTCATACACATGCTTACCATATCTCGAAAGACAGAGCTCCCTTATCACGAAAGAGTTGAAAAAGTTCCGTAACACTTAATATCCCCAAATTGACTTGAAAGTTATTATAAAACCCAGTTTCAGACTATATTTTTTTTCCTCTACAAAGATGGTTTGCCGACTGCCCATTGTTCACACCTCGTCTACTTATACACGTGCGGAGACTGTAAGGCCTCCTATATTGGTGAAACCAAACGTCACATTAAAGTATGAGCATGTGAACACATGGGCATATCTATAAAAACTGGAAGAAATTTTACAAACCCTCCCAACTCCGCTATCTATCAACACAATACAGAAACAGGACATCCGATTTCTCTCTCAAACCTATTTTAACTATTTTACTTGTGCCTCAGTTTTCATTTTTTCGTGTTATATTTCTATATTCGAATTGTTTATTTCTTATGTATATATTTCTGTTGCAATTACAAATATTCTTTGTTTGTTTCGTACCTCTAGAGTACTGATAATGGAATTATGACGATTCCGAAACGTTTAATAAATGCTTCCTGTTATTACGTTCGTGTTTGTTTTATCTTTCCAGAATAATTTAGTTGTGTAACAGGACAAACTTCTTTATCTATCTAGGTTTTTACATTGTAGTATCATGAATAGATGAGTAACAGAACAAACTTCTTTATCTATCTAGGTTTTTACATTGTAGTATCATGAATAGGTGGGTAACAGAACAAACTTCTTT